AGGAGAAAAACAAAATATCTCATGGAAATGGAAAAGAAAAAATTTTGCCTTCTCCAACAAAATTTGAAACACTGACAGCCTGTTCTTATGCTACCCTTCTTTTTGGTGCTGGCTGGAAGGGGTCAGTTTGTAATTCTCTGCTGTAATGTTGATCAACTTCATGAAGCCCAAACCTGACTCCTTATGAGACTGGATTCCAAAGAAAACAAGCATTACGTGGATTCCCAGTCACCTGGGATGACCCAATTTGAACAGAGAGCAAGATACAACCTAAAAAATTGCAGACTGCTGCAGCCACGTGCTGGGATGCAATACAGCACTAAAGAACAGTAAAAGGATGGTGACATAAGAAGAGAAATAAGCATAATATCCAACAGAGCAGGAAGAATCCTGTAAGACACAAATGCAACGAGTACAACCTACACTAGGTTTGGGCCTTGCCATTAAGTAAAGGGGGAAAAGAACAACCTCATCCCTACAAAGATGCAGTTTGTGCACAATAAATGCTCCTCCTGGTACTATTCTGAGCTAACAAGCGCAGCTTTAACATCTCATTCTACATTAGCAAGTTGACCCAATTTAAAAATAAAATAAAAATTAAAAAACTGCACAACAAAAAAACCCTTATATATGCAATAAAGCTGGCAAACGGAATTTTGCTGCCCCCACCTCGCTGCAGGAAACAACAGCTCGACGTGCCGTGTTCTTGATCAATAACTACCAAACTGAATTTAAAAAGCTTAAAAAACCACGGGCACACCGCACAGAATAGGAAAATGTGGAGAGAACAGCCTGAGACGGCCTGGCAAGCATGAGATAAGGAGGGGCGCTCCCTACGGGGAGGGGAAAAGAGAGGACAGGCTCGTTCTTGCTGAGATAAGCGATACAAAAGCAGGTTTCTCCGCAGCCCAGGCGCTGCCGCTCCCCCCCGCGCTGGGGGCTCCCTCCCGGCTCCGTCCCTGTCCCCGTCCCTCAGGGCCTGTCACAGCGGGCACGGCCCGAGGCCGCGGGGACTGGCGGCGGCGGCCGCGAGAGGGGCGGTAACCGCCGGGTCACCGTCCGCCGCGCCCCGGGGGCTCAGCCTGGCTCGTCTCCCCCTCCCTCATCGCCCCGCAGCCCCTCACCTGCCCCGCGCAGCCCCGGTGTTGTGGCCGCGGGTGAGCCCCGGCCGCCGCTTCCTGCGCGGCCCTTTCCGCCTCCGCTTCGCCGCCGCTCCCACCGCCCCTTCCGGGGGCCGGGACACCCGCCCCGCCGCCATCTTGAGCGTGGCAGCGCAGGCAGTGCCCACCCCCGCCGCCATCTTGGGGGCGGCACCGCCTCGGCGCGTCCCGCCCGGCGCCGCCATGTCGGGGGTGGCTGAGCCCTGAGGGCGGTAAACGCCGGCTGGGGCTCGGGGACACGGGCTGGGCGTCCTGAGAGGAGATAATGAAACCCCGAGAGCTTGGCGGGGAGTTGTGGCATGGCAGCAGGAACGCCCGCGAGTGGCGCTGTGCCCTTGGCTTGCTGTGGGTTAAAGGAGTTTGCAAGCACACACACACACGGAGGAATGTTATTTATAAAAATTATATTCCAAACCGCTGTTGTAGAATCACAGCATGTCGTGAGTTCGGAGGGACCCACAAGAACCACAGGGGGTGGAGCTCTGAGCAACCTGGTCTAGTGGGAGGTGTCCTTGGTTATGACCAGAGTGGAATGGGATGGGCTTTATGGTCCCTTCAACCCAAACCGTTCTGGAATTCTGTGATCATCCAAGTCCAACTCCTGGTCATGCAGAGGACACCCGAGCAGTCCACCCTGTCCCTGAAAGCAGTGTCCCAACACTCCTAGAGCTCTGTCAGCCTTGGGGCTGTGACCGCTGCCCTGGGGAGGCTGTTCAGTGCCTCATCCTCTGGGGGAAGAACCTTTTCCCAGTATCCAGCCTAGCCCTGCCCTGACACAGCTCCAGCTGTTCCCTCGGGTCCTGTCACAGGTCACACAGAGCAGAGATCGGAGCTGCCCCTCATGAGAAAGCTGCAGACCCCAGTGAGGTCTGACCTCAGTGTCCTCCCAGAACAATCCAAGCACCCTCAGCCACTCCTTGATGGCCCCTCCAGACCCTTCACCATCCTCGTGTCCCTCCTTTGGGCACTCTCTAATAACTTGTGATACATTACCTGAAGAGGCTTTAACCTGCCCCAGGAGCCCTGATAGTTGCCTTTGCCAAAGTGTATTTGAGCATTATATGGGTCTATTATCAATTTGTTAAATTTGTTCAGGTATGAGTCCAAAAGACCAAAAGTCATTAGGTGCATTAGCACAAGTAAGGACGGTTTCATGATTTAATCCCAGCCAAATTTATTCTAGCACTGGCATTTTCTTTTTTAGGAATTCAACTATCTGATTTTCAGGCCTGTATTTCATTACTTCTTGTCTTAGAAGGGAAAACAAAAAATTTTTGTTACTGTGAAAACCCTTTCTTGCCCTCCACATATAAATACATCAGATATATACGTCATATATACGGATACATCAATGATACATAAGTACCTTTTTGGTGCAGAGTTTTGAAAACTCTAATCCTCCGTGAGTGCAAGATCTGTTCTGTTTTCCATTCAACACCAATATCTGGCTCCCTCTATTTTATTTTCTAGCAAACAGGACATGAGCCTGTTTCATCAGCTCATTCAAGCTACGTACATTTTTCCTTCCCCATATTTCCCTGTCGTTGCTCCATCACACAAACCCGACTGTCCAGATTGTCCAGCCACTTCAACATTTTCTTCAGCTGTCATTTGCGGCAATTTGCAAATGGTGTTCTTTGCTCTGGTATGTGGCAGAAGCTGCTTCTCATTATCTGCAGCTATGGGCCAGCAGGAGCTCATAAAAAGCACTCAGTGTGGGAAAGCCTTGCTCTCCAGCTGCTCTTGTCTCAGATAATTTCACGTCAGAAACAAATTAGAGTCCCAGAAGTGTGGTTTAGACCTCTGAGTTACAGCTTCTTGAATCATTCTGGAAGGTGTGCACAAGCAGTTTTGTCTTAGGTTTGGCCCACAAGCACAATCAGTTAAATATCTCAACATACTAAGCAGAGGGTGTGAATATTCACTTAGGCTGTAACAAGCCAAGCTAGAGGGCAGAAAATATTCACAGGTTGTCTGCTGGATGTTCCGACGTGATGACAAAAGCCCCCCTCATTTGCCTTTGTTTTCTCAATTTGATCTTTCTTTTCTTATTTTTATCTTTTTTTCAGTCAAGATGACCTGTTGTGAGAACCTCTTTAGGTTGTGTCCAGAGCCACAAGCCTGAGCTATGAGAAACTTTTACAGTATTACCTTTCTCATTTGCATTCCTCCTGCCTAATTGCTGGGACCTGGATTCCATATAAACAGAATTCATGATAGGGATTGTTTTATTCTGTGTCCAGCAGTTCCAAAATTTTCCTCCTGTGTAAGCCCGGTGAAGTCAGTCGTTCATCAGTTTTAATTTTGGGAAAATGCATTCCCCTGACCAACTATTCAAGTGTAAAAGACACAAACTGGCTTCGTAATGAAGAAAATAAGGATGTAAGGTAGAACAGAAACTTCTTTAGGTCTAAAAGCCACCAACTTATCAGAAGTGAAGAGAATCAGGAATGATCCCATTTAAATGACAGGATTTAACAGAGATAATGCTCTGAAGCTTATGCAGTCTTACGGTGTACCAGATTTGATTCATTTAAAGGAAAAAAAAGAGCCAGATTGAAGGGTAAATTCCAGTAACATGAGGCCATCTAGTGGAATACAACTTTTGTCTTCCAGGCTTTCATTTTTGACCTCTGGAGTTAGTCCCTGCTCCACAATAGTTTTCAGTAACTTGGGAAATACCTATTACTAATGGATGCAATAAACTTATTCTCTAGAAAGTTCACCATGGACAAAAGCAAAAGAGTTAAAGTTTATTTTAATAAACATGCTAAACAACATAAACTAATCAGAATCGCACAAAGATAAAGGAAAAATAAGCATTTAAAATTTAGCTACAAAACTGGGAGAATCAAAGCACTGCCAAAGAAAGCTGAAACCTTTGGGGAAAAGTATCTGCTAAAATTTCTGGATAAGTGGAAGAAAACACTTTATCAACAAGGGAAGAGAGGCCATGCCTGCACTGACTTGTGTCCACTCAGATCATGTGGCATTGTCAGAAGATTTGAACTTTAACTGTGTAGACCAATATATAATGAAGGGCTCATTTAAAACCAACTTTCCTGCTACAGGAACTGGAATGCTCCTGAGAATCCCATGGAAGTGCTTTTCAGGGAGGACAGAAGTGTCAATCCCAACACTCTGGAGTGGAGCAAAGCAGCAAATGAGAGAACACAGGTGGAAAACTGACTTTATGCTTTGTTTGCCACCATCAGAACAGGCAGGATGAACAAAATCCAATTAAGAGGCTGTGGTGGGGCAGTGGGAAGCTGTTCTCAGCACTCTTCTGGCATGCAGATCTCCTTTAGCAGACCCCTGCTTGCTTCACGTGTAAGGCACCTCTACTTCTCCTGTGAAGGAAGGGAAGAACATCCATAATGCAGATAGAAAGCTCAACAGCATGCACTGAAATCTCTCTGAAGCGCTTTGCTAACAGAGAAGACACTATAAACATTTGTAGCAGACATGAGGGCATTGATCTGTAAACAACTTTCCTTTGAAAATTATATATTTTATCCATAAAAAGCAAGGTATTTCCAGTACCACTTTTGAATTGTATGACCCAAGGTAGGTTCAGGTACCAGGTTAGGCCTGTGTTGCTTATTGGACTCTTCTCCTTACTGTCCAACTTCTACAATAGGAAGTTGCTCACACAAATATCAAGGTCATTTGTTTAGACCAGCTGGACCTTACTGGAGGGAGAAGCAATTAATCTGAAAAGATTAAGCAAAGGAACAGAGAAGCAGCAACCCTGGAAAAAAAATGATAGCACTTAGGTGAAATGGAAATCCGAGATAATTCAGCTAACCTCAGACTTTGGCTAATTCAGGAGCAATTAGGTAGAGTTGTACTTACAGGACTGCTTTGCAGAAAGAACACTTGTTGTTATACGTTTTTCCATCAGAGCCGCAGAAGGGCTGATAGAGCCTTTCGCAGTAAATGGGTCTTCCTCTCTCTAACCTCCTGTATTCACTGCAGTCCACCTGTAAATAGAGTGTCATTTTTCTTTGAATCCATCTTTCTACACTCTCCATTCACCTACAGAAATAATGAATATGTGACATTTTTGGACACGCTTGTCAGCTGCTCTAGAGCAGTGCAGTTGATGAGGCTTTGCCATCTGTATTAGCTGCGCCTAAGCCTCAAAAAAGGAATGTTCCTTATCACAGAGATGTCTGTGATGCTGCCTGTGACAAACCGAGCACTTTTAAGGACTGTGCTCTCCATCTGAATAGCATTAAGTCACTGGAAAAAATACAGCTACAGAAAAGTTGAGGATTAGTATTTTTTTTTTCTAGCTGTTTGCAATGGTCGGTCAATTTAGGTGAGATCACTTCTTAAGGCTTTCTCTCTCTTTATTGCCCAGTATCAGCTCTTGATGCTTTTTACACTGGGGGAAGGTTCTGCCCAGGTGAAATTAAAGTCCTATTTAAGTATTGGCATGAAAAGGAATTGTTGGAGGTCTCATCTGATAGTGGGACTATATTCATTACAGACTTAGACATGGAAATGGGACTACAAATGTCCAGTTGTTTCTTGAACACCTCCAGGGATGGTGACTCCACCACCTCCCTGGGCAGCCTCTTCCAATGTTTGACATCCCTTTCCATGAAGAAAATCCTCCTGAGTTGTGCTAATGGGGGCCCAGCTTTGTGTTTGGGTGTATTTTCTTTCCCCACTATTCATCACTGGACTCTGAAAGGTCTTGTCCCTGCTCATCCAAGTAAGGATTTTTATTTCTTGGTGTCTCATTTCTTTCAGAGGGTGACCCCAGGATGACTCCAGCATACCCAGAGAGAAATTAAAACCTCCAAGTGCCAGATTTAGGACCTGAAAGTCATTAAGAAAGACTTAAAGTGTCATCATCAGATAAATATTTTAAAAAAATCTAGATTTCTCTGACTTTAAAGTTGTCCTTGCCCAATTTCTTGCCCAGAATACATAACAGGTAAAAACATTTGGAAGTTGTCAGGGCAACTGTATGAAAACCACATATTTCAGAGTTGGAGATTTCTCACTAAAATCTCAATACATGGCTAGCAATTAATTAAAGTTTAACATGGTGCTTTTTTTCCTGGCCTCATATTGTTACAAACTATCTATAGTTTTATCCAGAAATAAAGAACATTACTCACCTCGTTCTCTTTGTCAGCATCTGCAATAAAACAGAATCACAAAGGATAAAATAAAAACCACAGTTAATGAACACTCAGTTTCAAACAAGGATGATTTCATTAGTCTGAGCCCTTCCAGCAACACCAAGTCTCTTAACTCCTTGAAAGTAAATACTGACAGAGCTTTTCAGTGTTTAATAAGACACAGGTGTCAGAACCTATTAAACAAGTGGACATTATTCTATTATTTACCTCAGAAACCTCTGTCAGCTGCTAGAACAGCCTCCGCTGTAGGAGCGACTGGAGCCATTGTTCCCCCTTTCACCACAAAAAGATTGAAGCCCCAGAAGTCAATATTGTATTCAGTGGCCAGTCTGTTCAGGATCAACTGGTTGTTGAGCATGACTGGGTTTTAATTCCTAAGTTTATAAAAAAAGTTGCATGTGGTTGTACGAAAATCAAATGTTCTTTTTATGCTTTGATTTTCTGTCAATAATGAGGATAATATCTTCATTAAACTATAATATTAAATATATATAATAATGATAATCCAATTTGGATCATAGTACCACTTTAAAAAGTGATTTCATTTGCTGGTCAAACTGATTGGCCCCTATTTTGTACACACATGGCATCTGATAGAATGGAACCCTGTTCCGAGGTGGGGCTTCAAGGAGCTGCTTCAAAACAATGCTAATTACACCTCCCAGAAAGTAATCAAGTGCCACTGGCATGTCTCCATTACGGTGACACATTTGTTACTTTCCTTAGGAATGTATTTGTTCTCCTGTCCTGTAATCATCATCCTGGGGCTTCCAAGGGGTAAAAGTTGTCAGGCAGAAACTTCTGTGCAGCGGGAGCAGGAGGAAAATGTGGTATGGCAATACAGCTCTAGCACTTGTCTTTTGGACTAGATGTGGCTTTTTCTGATCTTTAAAGCCATTAGAATTTCCACTGGAAGTTCCTTTCATGGAGCTGTTTACATCTTCTCATCAAATAACATTGTTCAACTTAAAGAAAACTGTCATAAATAGTGCTCCATGTCAAGATTCAGTCTGTATCACCAGAGGTTTGACAGTTTTCATTATTCTGGAGTTGGATTAGATTTAATCCACTTCCTCCCAAACATTAGGATGTTATTTTTTCTCCAGTAACCTCTTAAGAGCCACTCTGCATGTGGGAGTGAATGCAAAAAAATGTAGCTCAAAATGTAGTTATTAGTAAAGTTTTAAAGGAGACAAGATAAACTAGGAAGTTCAAGGAAGAGATTTCCTGGAATTCTTATGGAAGTAATATTTATTTCTTTTTCTGCAGTTAATGAAACACTGAAAGAACGGTTTCTGTCAAATCATGCAATTTCATTGAAATTGTTGTTCATAAGCATTTTGATTGTGAGACAATTTTCAAAGCAACCTTTTCAGACCTATTCAAAATAGAAAAATATTAACTTGTTTCATAATTTTGGGTTTAATATTGTAATTATTTTGCTTCTTTAATGTTCTTAATGCTTTTGAACATCTATACTCTAGCAGAAATGTGGACTCTCTCAGTTATCTTAAATGTACTTACTTACACCTACATATTTTATTCCAAGGTTTTAGTAAAAATAAAAATACCAAGAAATTCCTCCTGGCTCCCTATTTTATCCCAGAGCAACCTGCTCTTCAAAGCTCTCTGCAGCCTGGCAAGCTAACAGTATAAAGAGGTGATTTATAGTCTTATTATGTGTCCTGTGTATAATCAACTGTCCCCTGCATGGTCAGTTTGGCAGAAGAACCTCATCAGCTCCAACCTCCCTTCTCAGATAAAATTTAAAAATAAGTAGGTAAAAACAGCTGTGGTTCTGAGGCTTTGCAGTTCTTTTTAGTCACAGTGCAGAATGCAGCTCTGATTCACACCACCACCAAGGATGAGGTTTCATCCACCCAAGTGGGCAGCTGTACAGCTGGTACAATAGTGTTTGATAAATGGAGCACAAGCCTAAAATTTCACTTTCTGTCTCCCACCCAGGTCCAGGAACCATTGCTCTCTGTCCCAATACACTGAGAAACTTGCAGTTTTTAGACATCAGAACTGTAATATAGCAGGAAATACAGGAGGTTACTCACTTGCCAAGCAAAGAACTGCCAGAGCGAGGAGCACAAAGACTCCTGTTGTCTTCATGGCAAACAGGGGTTCTTGGCCTGTTTCACAGCTGGTCTGTCCTTCAAGTATTCCAGCACGTTTAGCTCCAGTGTGTGTCCATGTGTCTGTGGGAGCAGATATTTATATACACGAGCACAAGGAGCAGGAACCCTGGTGATGAAATCCCCTCACACAGAACGTAATTAGAAGAAGGTGTTGCCCTGTAGTGTCAATAGAATGTCTTCTGTACAGCGTGAAGGTCATGAGTGTCCCAGCATGGATTGTGTTGATAGAGCAGATGTATTGTTCCTTGGCTAAGCCCCTTGCCTAATTAACTGTTCTATCTCCATCAGCGAGTCCAAGGAGTGACTCAGTAAGGTGGTTACTTATTGCTGGTCTGTTATTGCCTATTGACTCTTAGAGATGAACACAATTCCCAGGGGAAAAATAATTGTTACTGGGTGTGTTCCAAAAGATTCATCCCAGTAGAGCTGAAGTCCTTAATTCCTGTTGTCTTGATGTTTTGGAGCTGCCTGTGAGCTCTGTTTAAAGGCGATGCTTGTTCCTATGACTGTGCACTGAGCCCTTCTAGGCTGCTCTGGAAAAGAATGTTTCATTGGAACACCCTAAACTTCACAAAAAGCCTAGAAAATCCTTCAGTGTTCTCCTTCCTTTAAAATTCTGCCACTTTAGAGATTGGAACCAACGCTCTGTGAAAGAAAGAGCAAAGATACCACATGGCACTGCCTGGCAAAGAGCAGGGATGAGTTCAGAGCCACTGGGCATCCTGCTGAGTTACTGCCTGGTGTGGTGTCATGGAGATATGGAGGAGATTCCTCTGCCTGCCCCTCTTCTCCTAGTTTCCTATTTTCAGCACAGTAGGAGGGATTCTTCAAAAAAATCCACCATACCACTGTATTAGTGACTTAATCCACAGGCATCATTTTTTATCTTTTATAATACAGCTCAGGGGGGGAATCACAATGGGACACTTGGTTCTGAGGCTTAATTTTCATGAAGTTCAAAGTAATGTGGAGTTTTGAGCTGATAGTTTTGTTTGAACCCATCCCTCCAAAATCATCATATGTTAATGTAGTTGGGCAAATTGTCTCAATAGGAAAGATCCCTGCACACCACTACAATTCACAGTATTTCAGTGATCACCTTCCCTTGTTGCAAGGAATTGGGGCCATATGTGCTATCTTCAGGAAGACAGAAGGAAACTGAAAGTTCTAACAGGAGAAGTTGTAATAGGTAAAATAGACTTTGGCCCCACTAGTTCATCCCAAGAAGGATAAATATCATCTTGTCTTCAAGAATTACAGGTAATTAATAAATGGCTAATTTCTCATCACTTCATGGGATGAAAAATATAAATGCCATCAAATTCAAGTTCCAGCATAGGTAAAGATGTGGTTTGAGCTGGAGCCCTGTAATTTAATGCCCTTACTTCAGTGATTTAATATTTAATTTTCCTTTGTTTTTAACTTGGACGTCTGTGCATCTTCCTTTGAAGTTGAGATCACAAGAGACAGGCTGTGGTTTACACTGGAGTTGGTCTGGATTCTTCTGCTTTGGGTTGTCAGTGAAATTTTTGTACTGGAGAGCCCAAAACCTTTCTGAAGAGCCTGGCAAAGAGCATGTAAAGACTCGTGGAGAGTATTCAGGACATGTTCATTGGTTGGTGGACAATTACCAACATTAGGCAACAAGAGCAAAACCCAAAGCAAGCCGGAAGTTACTCCTAATCTGAATAGTTTTGAGCAAACAAGACTCTTAAGGAAATCTTGAAACTGTAAAACTGCAGCTTGACAGAACATGCCGGTTCCTTGACACCGGAATGAGGAAATCTGCCACTCTGGTTACGCTCTCCTGCCCTAATACAGTGCTCCAGAGTGTCCTGTCTGATGCAACCTCAATATCCATCCCATCCCTCCAGCAGAAGAGTGTAAACATCTGCTTCAAGTCTGCTAGGTTGATGTAGGAATCTTTTCTGAGACTAGTGCAGAAAGAGATGACTCTTGGAGGTGGGAGGGAATCAAAAAGGGAGGCAGATTTTAAATGAGATTTTTCTTAGCATTTCAAAGTTACCTTTCTATTGGAAGGATTCCTGATGCTTATTCTATGCCCCATATCAGGAAAGCCATGGGGTGGACGCTTTCTCTCTGATAATGTTTAGGTGTATTAGTTAGAGGTTTTGAATCAAATAAATATTCGTTTCTTGAACAGTGGACCTTAAGCTTTGTAGGGCTTGCCCAGACCACTCAGACAGGAGGGACAAAGTCGTGATGAGAGGTTGTGACACACTGTAGGGTGTGCAAACAGCAGCTCGCTCACAGCAGGGGCTCAGCTGAAATCCTGGAGATTTTTGTGTTTTGAAATATCAAAGCTGTCTTAGAGCTTTGAGAAGAAAAACGCCCTACTCAGAGAGCAACAGTGTGTTTCACTTTCTGCAGTGAGGTGTTACTCACACAGAATCCCAAAATGAAACTTGGTGAAGAGTAAAATGCCACAGGACTTACTGCAACTCCAGTCTAAACAGAGACCAAAGTCTCTGGACCTCTATTCCTTGCTTTGAGGAATGGGCAGAACTCACATCAGTCAGCTAGAGAAAATAATCATTATTTGACTGAAAAAATGCTTTATCTGAGGCATCTTTCTTGTCCAAACTTGTTGTTTGCCCTGCTAGCTCTTCACATGGAGCTGGTCTGACAACTTGAGGCCTGTCATCCTCAGGCAGACTGAAGGTTCCCTTAGGTCAGAGTGCTATGTTCAAGAACTTTCCGTGGCATGTTGGGAAGAGATCCATTTTCATGGCGTGCAAGTTGGACATGAGTCAATGGCTTGTCCCTGTACTGAACAAGTCCAGCTCAGCATGCTGGGCTGTATTAGTAAGAGTGTAATTATCAAGTTCAGCACTGGTGAAGCTGCATCTTCATTCTGGGTACAGTTCTGGGCTCCCTGGCACAAAAAAGGCACTGAAATACTGGATCAGAAGCAGTGAAGGACCAACAAGGTGTTTGGAGGGATGAAGCACGTGTCATGCTAGGAAAGCTTGAGAGAAGTGGTTTGCCCAGTTTGGAGAAAGAGAGTAAAGTCTTGTTGCTTTCAGCTGCTTTCAGGACATGCAGAGAAGACAGGAGCCAGAGTCTTCTTGGAGATGCACAGTGAAAGGAAGAGAGAGAACAGTGCAAATTGCAGCAAGAGAAATTCTAATTAGATATGAGGAAAACAAATTTCACAATGAGAGTAGTCAAGAATAGGAACAGGTTATCCAGAGATCATTGGAGATACTAAAAAATGGATCTGTTCTGAACTGGCCATAATCTAGTGATGGGTGTGGGGTGTGGGGAACCAGGTGACCTCCAGTGGTCCATTCCAAGGGAACTGATTCTATGATTCCCACAGGAGAATGTCAAGTGTTGCTGGCAGGCAGCTGCTCAGGGACTTTGTGGCATATTTGTCCTTATGAGTTAACATTTAACAAAGCAGCACAGACAGTAAATTAGCACAATAGATTGATTTTACCTACTTGGAAAACATGTCGTTCATTGGAAAACAAGTGTTCAGATCTGTTTAGGAATAGCTGTTTCCCAAAGCTATGTCAGTACGGCCTCTTCATCATACCTAAAACTAATTTAGAAATTTATAGAAAATACTCTGTATTGAAGAATAATAGTGAGCAAAATTTTGACCTAGTCATCAAACTCATGAATACATGTAGGTTAATTGTGGGCCTCTCATAGTTTTCTGCCTTTACCTTTTTCTACCTTTATCTTCATATCTTGTCTTATTATCTGTCCAAGTTGATCTTTTGAAGAAGAAAAATTAATTACACGGTGTTACATCTGGTAAAATATTAGTGCATATTTTTCCGAGAGGAGGACAGTTTTTCACAATTATTCATATATTGCTTTTAGATTTGGAGTGCTGAATGGAGCACGAATGGGATGCCAAATATGCTGCTGCAGCACGTCATTAGTTAAGTGCCTGCTTTATTCTGCTTGGGAGGGTGTTCTGTGGCTGCATTCCAGAACAGTAACCTGTTCCCATTCATCTGATGGAGTACCTCCCACTGAGGGCATCAGCAGTGCTGAAAAAAGGGCACGTGGAATAGCTAAAAAACATATTCTCACACACACCACATAAACCTTTGAAGAATGTGCAAGCCAAGATAGATCCTGCCGTGGTCACCCACGCCGGTGATTCCGGTGCGTGTTTATTCGGGACGCGGTTCATGGGCTCCCTCAATCCTGCTCTGGGTGGGTGGTTTGGGTTGTCCGCCCATGTGCAATTAACATATCAGACTTTTGAAGTCTTGCTCAATGGAAGAGTTGAGAGTCAAGTGATGTGTTTGTTAAGGCATCAAACTGGGCCAAAACAGTATTTGCCTGAAGGAAGGTGAGTTTCCCATTTTCCACACCTTAAGAGAGATCAAAGGAGCCTTTCTTTAACACTGCAGGTGTCAAGGCAGGACAGATCCCTGCTGAAGGTTTCATGTGTTATTTCAGAAAGTAAAAAAATAAACCCAACACCTCTCTGCAAAGGCTGGCACTGAGCTTTATATTTTTCTTTGTATCTTCTGATTTCGCTAAGATACAATACAACAAGGCTGTGATACCTGAACTTGTGGATCCTTTGAATTACTTAGTGCCATTCCAATGATGGGTCTGAATTGATTCTTCACAGGTAAAACAAAACAAGCATTAACAGCTTAACATTTCCACTGAATGTATTGCACCTTGAGCATTGAATAGGATTTCTATTAAATTGCCTTAAGATGCAATTCCCAGGTGTTCAGCACTTTGAAGTTCTGTCACACTGAACTCATCAAACCGACATATTTGAAGCAAGGTTTCTTTTAAGGTTTTTTGATGTCTCAGAACAAGGCTGGGGAATATACACTGGATTTCCCTCTCTTACAAATACTATTACTTCTATAAAAGAGAATCTACAACTTATGAAGAAAAGGGATAAGATGAAGGTCAGCATGGAAGAAGGGGTGGATACGAAGCATTTGGACCTAAAATCTGTGTTTTCCCACAGAACCCTTAATTAGACATAAGCCTTTTTTTCCCCCCTTTTGCTGCTTGCAAGTGCCTGCTTGCCCAGCTGAAGCACTTAGAGGATAGCAAGTTCCTACTGTAACCTATTAGTGCCTCATTAAGGACACCAACTATTTGTC